TATCCAAAATATCCTCGGACAAAACCAGGTTCAATGATGGAATTTCTCATTCAAACTAAAAGTCCTATGGAATTGGTTGATTGCTTTCCTAAAAATAGCATTTGTTCCTTCTGTGGAGGTGGTCATCATTCATGTCTTTGCCCCATTCCTCCAAATGACCATCCTTATGGGGCAACTGCGTAGCCCACTTCTTCCTCCCCACAATTTACAAACACAAATGTTTTAGCCATTCCTACTTCTTTGCCAAGTAATGAGCCACATAATCAGTGTAACAATACACTTTCAAAAACTCTGTCTGAGTACCTAGAGATTACGAGGGAGAGCACTTTAGCCATGGAGCAGAGCACTTCAAACATCACGAAGCATATAAATACCATAAGGAGCCATCTGGTAGAAGACCAATCCGAGAAGACCAATAAGGATGATCATGTGAGCGAGTCAGACTACGAAGGTGAGAATATGATGGATGATACCCTCCCAGATGCTTTTGAAGATCCACCTATGGTTGAACTTGATCAAAATTATAGTAGTCTCGAGTTGTTTTTCGAAGAATACAGGAAAAAGTTTCAAACGGTACAAGTTGTAACTGATGAAGTCACAGATCACTATGATCTTCATACAGAAACTCTCGAGCCGTTTGATTTACCATTAGTCTCAACACTTGACGAGGGCATGGAGCATATCAGTCATGATGATGCTGCTATTGAGGTAGGTTTGGGTATTGAAGATGAGTTGGGAAATGATGAGCACACGTTTCAAGAGAGTGGGGGAAAGGTAGATGATGTTCATAATGAAGAAGTCCCACTCCACAAGCAAGATTACCCCTCTTGTACACATGCACCGATCCACTCTTATGTGGTAGATTTGGATTTCTTTGATTCACACCTTCAGGATGATTTTCCTTTTTGTGTGGAGAGTGACGAGATCATCCAAGAAGACATTCATGAGAACGGTGTTACCGAGAGTTGGGATGCTCACATGGGGAGCGATATAGAGTTCGGAGCAGAGGTTGTGAATGTTCATGACATTTGTGGAGAAGAAAAAGACTTTTCTATGGTGCAGTTCGATTACGGTGTTGCTCCTAATCCTTGCTTTGAAACATCTCTTGAGCTTCCAGTGACACCTAGAGTAATCAAAGTTTTCACTCATGTTCTTTGTCCACCCGAAGAGGATGAGAGTTTCATACTTCACTTCTGTGCTGATGATGGTTATGAAGATCATATGCTACCTACGTGGACTGAAGAATTTAAGAATCTGCGTCACTTAATGGCATTTGTTGAGAGGAAGCTGGAAACGTTGATTACTAGTGCACCACTACAGTCTGTGTTGTTTGAGAGCTTACGAGGTATTGTCGGGCAAACGACGTTAAAAATAGCGCTTTTTGGGAGGCAACCCAAGTTTAATTCTGCACTTTTGTCTTTGTTTGTTTGCTTTCAAGAAAACCCCCGAAAAAAAAAATCCGAGGTGTTTTCTGTTTTTGTTTTTGTGTTTGTGTGTTTTGTTTTTTGCAGCTTAGGGTCTTGCTTTGGGGATAACGTGCCGAGTATCACTTAGACTCAGCTTAGTTCTACACTGACCAGCGCCTTAGGGAAGTTTCTGCGACTCTTATAATCGCCTATTTGTAATGTTGACTTTAGTTGAGATTGAGCACGCGTGACCCTTTCCTCTTTACCCCCTTGTGCATAGTGCATTTTTGGCCATCGAGGGTGATGCCAAAGTTTAAGTGGGGGGAGTGAATTGGGCATTCGAGAAGTAGTTATCACATGGTATTTTTAGAGTTAGCATGTGCCGGTGTTAGTTGTATATTCATAGGAAAGTCATGTCAAAATTTTTGAAAATTTTTCTTTAAACTGTGTCTTTGTGAGCTGGCTAGCATTTTGACTATGCTTTTAGAACATCTTTGAAGTGTTTAGGCTTAAATTCCTTTCATGGTAATCTAGTTGTTGAAAGGATGAAGGCATTAGTCACCCATTGAATCGTTCCACAAATCATCCACCTGACCTAAAAAAGTCCTTTATGAGAAGCCACTTTGAGTCTGACCATTTATTCTTTACCTAATTAATTGGGCTCCATACCCAAATGGCTTGTTTCCTTACCCGTGAATAAGTCTGACGAAGTCTTGATGTTTAGGGAACTAGGGGATTAATTTGTTAAGTTAAGGGAATTTTGGTAGGAGCCCATTTTTGGCACTGTTCCTATGCCCCAAATGGGGAAGAGCAGTCACTTTTTAGGAATTTGATATTTTCGAGGATTGCATTGTAGGCATGGATTCACCTAGATTAATTGAACTTTAATTGCTAATTTTCCTTGGTGAGGCTGAGATTAGAATGGGGTAATGTCTAGTAAAAATATGAAAATCGAAAAAATTAATATAGCTAGACCTCTTACCTTGCGAAAAAGAGAATGGGAGACCCGGTCAAAAAGCGTAAGTGTTCTGCACAATAAGATGAGACTTGGGGATCTTTCGAAAGAAATGGTGTTCTCGTGCCAACATGACAAGGAAACCTGATATTAATAAATTGAACTTGGAGGCTATTGCAAAATTAGCATTAGTCCTTCGCGTATTTCAAGTATACGTCAAAGCACCAATGTGCCGCGGCGGTTTCGCTTAGTTGTACACCATGTCTACTCTTTGCATAGGTTTAAATGATAGCTCCTAATTTGTGTCCAATTGAACTCTCGGATCCTAAGAATAGCCCTGAAATTCCTGAACGCATTAAGTTTTTGTCAGATTATTCCAAAACTCTCAAAGAAAGGGATTTTTATTCTTGCCCATCCATTATTCACGACCGTCTTCACAAGTCCTTCTGATCAATAGCTAGTTCATTAGTGTTTGCTGCCACTACTTCAAAGGAGTTGTGAATAATTTTGTCATTGAAGTTAGCCAGAGTACAAAGATGTAGTTTAGGGAAGAATTTTCTTGTTTCGGTCTGTCTGTTCTGTGAGTATCCCAGTAACTACCTGTGCATGCTAATTGTTTTAATTTCGTGTGGTGATTATCGTAAGTCCCGATGTTCAGTTCGCTTGAGGACAAGCAAAGGCTTAAGTGTGGGGGAATCTGATAAGTCCATATTTAGACACGCATTTGATGTGTGTTGGGATCGACTTTTGATGGTTTTCCTAGATTTAAGGTGTTACAAGTCTCAATTTTAGCTCAAGTTATGTTTACCGGGCGTTGGTTCAAGTTTTGTGTTGTTTGGAGTCAAACGGAATGCGATTAAACGGAATGATTTGAGAATCATTCGAGAATGAATTGAGAGATTTGGAGGTCATCGGGAGGTTCACAATGAAGATTTAATGATAAAACAGCTCTAGGATTAACTATGAGATCAAAAGAAGAATATAGCTTGAAAATGGCGATCAGGATGACCTTCTGTCTATCATTCAAGCATATCTCTTTGTAGAAGCATACAAAGGACACAGTTCAAGTCCCAAATGAAATCCAACTTCGAGGGATACAAATCGTATGAAGACATCATTACGAGAATATGAGAGGAAGAAGGTGAAAACAGACGATGAAGTCAGATAATCGCTGTTGCGATTTCAGAATGTGACCTTCCACCGTTGTAAATTCAATTCGGCAAGTTGTGGTGGATAGATGACTTCATTATCTACATCTTTCATGAAGGAAGTTTTGTCAAATTCGGACTAGAGAAGTCGGAAAACAGACTGGCATCCACGCACGCGTGCGTGGAGGGACGCACGCGTGCGTCCAACGTTTTAAACAGCCTGTAAATCCCTGTTTTGAGTGAGAAGCTTAGAGAGAGTGCCTAGCAAAAAATTTAGAGAGCTTTTCAGCCTTGTTCTTCAATCTTTTGGGATTCTTTGTAAGTTTCATTTTTTTAATTAATGACAATTACTTCTATTCAGCCCAATTCTGTTGATTCTTCAATTATGAATTGTGAGTAGTTTAATTAGGGATTTGGGATTGATGAAGGGGTTAATAATGATGTATGGCTAGATTGTTGATTGATTAATTGCATGACTGTCGTTTAATTTGTGTTTGAATAATGTAACTGATATCTCTTGCAACCTAGAACGCGCGCTAGAATTACAATTGCTTATAGAATAAGTTATGAGAGATCTAATTTATTCTAGGACATATTCACACACACTTAATCGCTTGCTAAGAGATTAGTAGCGATTAAGGGGCCGTAAGCTCGCTCGTCTTGACAATAATTTAGGATCTTGTCGCATGCGAGATCAGCCTGGTCCCTTAAATTATTGTACTTTACGCCGCGAGAGCGGTAATAACTTAGTAATGACTAGCTAGACTCAATTAAAATAATTTCATGTAATTAGACCTGATCTGCCAGAAATATGGTTACCCCGGAATCAATCCCTATTCCCTTCGTCGTTAATTAGAAAGAACCCCTTAGCTTTAGTTTTCGTTTAATTGCAAGTTAATTTTCCAATCAATCAAATCTCGCACAATTTATTTTATTTTATTTCTTTTTAATCGCTGAATTTAATTAATTCTTAATTCCCTTTTGTCCGTCCCTGTGGAGACGATACTCGTACTTACACCTTTACTGGAATCTATTTTAAGTGCGAGAAAACTCACATCACGTGCTTGCACGGGAGTTCAAATATTTACATTAAATCTACACTTATATGTCGAACAAAACTAAACCAAACTGTCAATCTTTTATCAAATAGTTACTACTTTTTTCTTTGAAAATCTTCTCAATTACCAATAGTTAACAACTATTAAAACACTCACAAAAATATTTTTTTAATTAGCATTGCGAAACAAATACAAAAGGAAAACGGGCAAATAAGCCCACGTACTAACCAAAATAGGTCAATAAACCCTTATATAGGAAGCTCTGTCCGACCATCGTCATTTGGGGCAGTTCCCGGTGGAATTTTTTGATGAAAGTTTTTGAGAATCTTATTCATTAAGTCTAGTTTACTCATACCAAATTTCAGCTAACAATTCAATTGATAAAGTAATTGATGATAAAGAAAAGAATTGAAGAAGAGCTTTTGAGGGAATGATTCTGCATGCGTATTATTCCATGAATGGATCAATTTATACAACAATTGTTTCCTAAAATATCTCCTAGAATATCTCAAGGTCAATAAGTAGCCTACGTATAATTAGAAGATACAATTGTGATATACAAAATCAAACTGATTTATTTACAAATATATTAGCCCAATACCTCCCCCCCCCCGTTGGAGTATGAAGATCCGTAATGCCGAACTTGGCAAGTAAAGAATGAAATTGACGTCCACCAGGTGCCTTAGTTAAAATATCAGCCAATTGTGAGGAGGTATGAACATAAACCGGTGCAATGGTGTGCTGAAGAATCTCATCATGAACGAAGTGACAATCGATTTTAATGTGTTTCGTGCGTTCGTGAAACACGGGATTATTGGCAATGTGTAACGCAACTTGACTATCACAATGCAAGGACACAGGAGAAGAATGATGGACCGCCAGACTTTCTAATAAACCTTTCAACCAAAGAATTTCACATGTAGCAGATGCCATAGAACGATATCCAGCCTCAGCGGAGGAGTGTGAAACTGTAGCTTGTTTCTTAGTCTTCCAGGAGATAGGTGAACCACAAGAAAAAAAACATAAGAAATAAGAGACCGTCTACTAAGTGGGTAGCTAGCCCAATCAGCATCACAATAGGCAGTTAAAGAAAGATCAGAAACTGCACGCAAGAGAATACCCTGACCTGGACTTGATTTTAAATACCGTACAATACGCAAAGCGGCGTCCCACTGGGAGTTTGTAGGATTCTGCATGAACTGAGATAAGATGTGAACGGAGTAACACAGTTCAGGGCGAGTTATCGTGAGATAGATAAGCCGACCCACAAGACGACGAGATTTTAAGGGATCGTCGAGGGGAGAATCACTAGCAAGAGCAAGAGAATGATTTTCTTCCATAGGAATACTAGCAGGTTTAGCACCAAGGAGACCTGTCTCAGTGAGAACATCAAGAGCATACTTCCGCTGACAAAGAAAAATACCACTAGAAATGCGTGCAACTTCCAAGCCGAGGAAATATTTAAGCTTGCCCAGGTCCTTCATACGAAAACAATTACTGAGATAGACCTTGAAGGCCGCAATGGAAGCACTATCATTACCAGCAATAACAAGATCATCAACGTAAACCAGAATACTGAGTGAGATGGATTCTTTTTGGTAAACAAATAAAGAGTGATCAGATTCACTATTTCGAAAACCATACAAACGTAGTGCATGAGCAAGTTTAGAATACCAACACCGCAGAGCTTGTCGTAAACAATACAAAGATTTACGAAGACGACAAACCTTGCCTGGAGCCCCAATATGAAAGCCTGGAGGAAATTTCATATAAACTTCTTCATGAAGATCGTCGTGAAGAAAGGCGTTATGAACATCCATCTGATGTAAGTCCCAATTTTTAGAGGCAGCAACAGTGAGAAAAGTACGCATTGTCACCATCTTAGTCGTGGGAGCAAAAGTTTCAACAAAATCAATGCCTTCAACCTGATGATTACCAAACACAACCAACTGAGCTTTGTATCGCTCAATAGAACCATCAGACTTATATTTAATACGAAAAATCCACATACATCCAATAGCGGTCTTACCAGGAGGTAAGTCCTCAATAGTCCAAGTATCATTGGCTTCCAAAGCACGCACTTCATCCTGCATAGCTTGTCACTAGCATGAGTCACACATAGCCTCTTTGAATGAGCGGGGCTCCATACCAGTGGTTATAGCTGCAAGAAACTGTTGATGCCCAAGAGAAAAAGTATCACAATTTACAAAATGCGCTATTGGATAAGGCGTACCTAAGGACCGAGGGGGTGAGGGCGTGAGAGCAAGGGGGGGGGGGGACCCGAGTGGCAAGAGTGACGAAATCTTTGTAACGAACATTGGGAAGCTTCTGCCGTTTACCTCTTCCCAAAGCATCAGGAGGCGTCTGCACAACTAACTCATTGGCAGACTCACTGACAGCTAACTCACTGGCAGACTCACGGCCAGAAGAGTGATTCAAGTTGTGCTGCTGCTCCAGATGGTTCAATTGTGTCTCTGGAGAGTGCTCAGAAGAGGAACCCATATTGAAAGGCATGGTGATATTTTCTGTGGCATGAGTACTTTCAGATTGTGAGGCAGCAAGTGGACTATCAGGAAAAAAATCATCTGCATGCCCCAATTGTTCCACATGCGACGAGCTGGACAGGGTGTTTTCACATGCAAACGGAAATACATCCTCATAAAAAACCACATCACGGGAGTGAAAAAATTGACCACTATCAAGATCAAATAAATTCCATCCTTTCTTACCAAAAGAATAACCAATAAACGCACAATGACGACTTCTACTAGCAAACTTGTCAAGAGGAGTTAATTCCTTGGCATAACATAAACAACCGAATACACGAAGCAAACTGAAATCAGGTGATCGGTGAAATAATAACCCATTGGGAATTTTACCTTGCAAAATTCGAGAGGGAGTGCATTAAATTAAATAAGTAGCACTGAGAACACATTCACCCTAAAAGTCAATAGCTAAACTAGCTTGAAAACGCAAAGCACGTGCCACATTTAAAATATGGCGGTGTTTGCGTTCAACTCGAGCATTTTGTTGAGGGTCCTAACCATGGATGTTTGATGAATTATTACTTCAGCACGAAAATAATTTCTCAAAGCCATGAATTCTTTTCCGTTATCACTTTGGAAAATTTTCACCCTTTTATCGAATTGCCTTTCAATTAGTGAGAAAAAATTCTTTAACAGAATGGATACCTCACCCTTGGTTTTCATCAAATAAACCCAAACACTTCATGAATAATCATCAAAAATGGTAAGGAAATAACGTGAATCACAAGAACGATTAGCACTGTAAGGTCTCCAAATATCACAATGAATCAAATCAAACACATTATCTGCTCTACTAGTACTTAAAGAAAAACTAGAGCGAGTTTGTTTATCGGACATGCTGTAACTGATCACTAATTTGAGGCAATAGTTCCATTACTTGCGGTGAGGGATGTCCAAGTCAGGCATGCCATAATCTCCTGGAATCAAGAGACGCTGCTTTATTGATACGAACTGGTTCCCCCATTGCCAAGTAAAAGAGCCCCCCTAACTGCTCACCCACACCAATCATGGTCATCGAGGCTCAGCCCTGTATAACACAAAATGCATTAGTAAATTGAATACTTAAGTGATTTTCTTTGAGCAAGGTGAAAACTAATAGCAAATTGCAGGTAAACTCCAGCACACACAACACATTTTGTAGTGTTAGCTTGACATTTACCGTCACACTTCCAAGTTCAGTAGCTTTAATAGATGAACCGTTAGGTAGGCCAATATCAGTAGGAATTATATCAACCACAAAATTGAACAACATAGCATTACCGCACACATGATGCGAAGCACCAGTGTGTTGGTCCTGTTTAAGCTAGGAACAGTCTATGGGGGGTGAATAAACTGTTCAGGATATTTCAAAATTTTCTCAAAGTCATAAGAGACTTGTCAGAGATGGTCTGATTCTGGTGACAGAGAGGGTCGAGTTCTAATGGCAGAACTGGACCTGGCAGCAGATAAGAGTTCTGTCCGGGTAGCCTCAGGAGAACACTAAGGCAAGTGCCTTTCAGATAACTCTTGGACAAGATCTGTTGAACACAGAGTCCAAGTCTTTGAGTTAATCAGTTAGAATCTTAAGTGCAAAAAGTAAATGCGTAAAGTAAATGACACCAGGGATTTTTATAGTGGTTCAAGGAACAACGTGTTCCTCTAGTCAACTGTTTAACTAAGCTTGTAAGTTAACAGTTACAATGCCTTATCCCTAGAACTTAAGAAGCACTACACATCTTCTTCAAGCCTAGTTGCCACCCGGAATGCAGTCCTTGCTTCCTGATGGCTGGTTTCGTTTCACTGAGTCTCTTGAAGTATCCCCACTTCACTACTTCAGCTAGTTTGAGACGTCCCTTCTTTTGTAAGAAGTGTTTGATTGAAAATCAGTTTTTCTCCAACGTAGCTTCGTCACAAAAGATGTGTAGGTGAGGCTTTAGATGTGTTGAAGATCTGGGTGAACTTTGCTCCTGTTGGAAGAAAGGATATGGAAAATAATATCTTTCCAACAAAAGCTTTTCTTGTTAAGGAAGATGAAGTTGATATCTCAAGAAAGCTTTTTGAATGTTGTGTAGAGAGCAAAAGTTATCTCCTTGTTCTTCGAAGTGTATCTTATATACTGGGAGCAGTCTTTCCGTTGGAGTGTAGAAGTGACGTGCACTTGTCGTGAGGTGCACTCAAAATAAATACAATAAAACAAATATACGTAGTATATTGAAGTAAGGTTCATATCCACAGGGAAAAGAATATTTATCTTTTATGTAACTAGTAACAAAAAGGGGGGGATTTTATGATTGTTGATAAATTTAAATGCATTTAAGCACTAAGATGAGCGACTTATGTGATTTACTTTAATAGGGATGAAGACTTGGTTTTGCTTTTATCCGCTTAATGAAATGTTCGTCGATCCCGGTTATATCTTTAACTATCTTCCTCTCGAATACTCAATCGAGGAGTATCTCCAGTTCATCGAGGGTAGTTATTAATAACGAGACGTGTTCATTAATAAAACTTACTACCGAGTTAATATAGAACACGCGCCGTATATCAACTCGACAGTAGCAATAAAATCAAGATGAAAACAATTGAGATTGATAACCTCAACACAAGCGGTTTATTGGTTTAATCAACATAATTAATTCCCCTTAGATTATCAACCATGAGACGCATGCATCAATAATCCAAGTTTACTGCCGTGAATGAACCGAATTAATAACAAGCGTATTAATCGATTGATTCTAGTAATAATTAATATATGAAACAAAACTAGTTGATCCTTTAAGTAATGTTCAAACTATTAATATGGAATATGAATAGGAATTAATTAATACTCAAGGAAGAATATTAAAGAAGATGAATCCTACTATAGTTAATATCAAGATGTTAACTAATTGTCATTTTAGTAACACTCCCCAATATTAGCATAGAGGAAGAAATAACTATTACTATAACTAATGTCAAGATGTTAACTAGTTGTCATCTTAGTAACACTCCCCAACATTGATATAGAAATAGTATTTAAAGGAAGAATTAATATTCAAGGAATAAAATTAAAGAGAATAACTCACAACTTACAAATTCATTAAGCTTCAATGTAGCAAAACCAAGATGGAAGAGTTTAGCTCCTCATTTAGAGAGTAAACATGATAAAAATATAAAGAAAGAACTATTCTAGACCGAGCTTAGAAGTATAAAGGAATTGGTGCTCTATTGTGAAGGAAAAGGGGTGTATTTAGGGGATTTTGGGATGCAGTTCGGGTACCCGATCGGGTATATACACGGTATCCGATCGGGTATGTGTAATACTTCTGTTTCGAGGTATTCTCGATCGATTAAGGAGTAAATTATATAAGCATACCCGATTAAGGGTATGTGTAATTTCATTTTTAGTTGATTTTACTACACTTGTCACATTATCATATAAGTTAACCATATTGGTTAGTTTGTTACATACTAATATTAATCATATAAACATGGTTAGATTAAAATATAAAAAGTACTTGGAATTTTTGTTAACTTCACTGTACATGTTATATGAAAATATAAAAGTTGTTGGAATTTTAGTTAATTACACTATTAATTAAAGTAGTTGACATTTTAGTTAATTTGACTACACTTGTTAGATTAAACTATTAAACTAGTTGGAATTTTAGTTCATTTAAAACACTTGTTAGATTAAAAATAAAAGTAGCTAGAATTTTAGTTAATTAAACTATTAATTAAAGTAGTTGGCATTTTAGTTAAATTGACTACACTTATTAGATTAAACAATTAAACTAGTAGGAATTTTAGTTAATTTTACTACACTTGTTAGATTAAAATATAAAAGTAGTTGGAAGAAAAGTTTTTGTGGTTTTTGTGATTTCTTGAAAGAAAAGTTTTTAAAATATTATTCACATATTCCGCATGTATATGGTATTGCATTTATTCTTGATCCTCATTTCAAATTTGATGCTTTTCAAAATTGTTTAGAGTACTATTATGCTTCTTTTTTGGTCAATTTCCTATGTACGATGATAAGCCCATACACTATTTTTGGTAAGTTACTCATGTATGTTGAAGGTACTCTCTCAGGATTTCTCATTCGATGATGAAGAATTCCTCAAAGTGCCAATTTGAGTCAAATTCTCTAACTTACCAATGAAACTTTAGAATGAAGAAGTGATAAGTTCGTATTTAGACACGCATTTGATACATGTTTAGATCGATCTTTGATGGTCTCCCTATTTATTTTGTGTCACAAGTCTCATTTTTAGCTCAAGTCATAGTTATCGGGTGTTGGTTCGAGTTTTGTACGGTTTGGAATCAAAATCAAGGATTTAAGCCCAACACCCGCACTTGAGAAGCAATCTGGATGATTCGAGATGCATTTGAGAATGAATCGAGAGTTTTAGAGGTCAACATGAGGTTTAAGACAAAGTTTTGATGACAAGAGAGCTTTAGGAGTGGCTACGAGATCAAATGAAGACGAATAGAGCTTGAAAACGGCGTTCAAGATGATCTTCTGTCAATCGTTCAAGCATATCGTTTTGTAGAAACATCTAAAGAACACGATTCAAGTTCCATATGAAATTCAACTTCAAGGGCTACAAATCATATGAAGACACCACTGCGAGAATCTTAGAGGAGGAAGGTGAAAACAGATGAAGAAGTCAGATGATTGTTGTTGCGATTTCAGGATGCGACACCCCACCATTGTATTCATATCTTGTGATTGGATGGTTCAATCCAGTTTTGCAAGTTCTTGTGGATAGAGGACTTCATTATCTACAACTTTCACGAAGGAAGCATTGTCGAATTCGGAAGATAAGGTCACGCACGGCCGTGCCCAGAATTAGGCACACCGTGCATGCGGAAGGATTCGCGAGGGAGCTACTGCCACCCAGGAACGGTCGTGCCTGCCATGGGGCATGCCATGCCTAACAGTTTTTCGCCTCCAAGTAGGGGTGAGCATAACCCGAACCCACCCGAAAACCCGATCGGGTTTACCCTCATTTACTCGCCTGGGTCAGTTGACCCAAACCCGAAAATCCGAATCGATTTTGCCCAGCCCAATATTTAAGGGAATGGGTTTCAGGTAGGGTTTATAAATTGGCTACCCAACCCACCCGAAAAACCCGAATAGCCCTAGGTATATATACCAAACATTTAACCCTAACCCTACCATTTCACTCTTCACTCGCAACCGGAAACTCCCTCTGACCCTCTCCTCTACTCCGACCTCTCTCTAACCCATCCTCTCATCTGTTGTTTCCGGTCATCCCTGTCTACTCTCTCTCGTCCATCCACCTGTAGTTTGTACGTTTGTGCCTCTCTGCCTTGGTGGAATCCGATCATAGCCTACCAGTGTTACGAAGCAGTATCTAGATCGCTATTGTGGGCTTGTCTTGTGGATTTGTGGAAGCTTCCAACTTGTTCGATTATCTTAATTCTTACTGTGGTAGTGAGGTATAATCGTTAAATACTAAAATTGTATGATTTGTTTGCTTGGATAAACAATTTATTGCATGTTTCGGTCTCTAATATTGGCTTTGAAATGGCCTTTGGTGGAAGCCTGGTCCCTAATTGTGATGTGTTATCATTTTTCTATATGACTTACCTGTGTTATTGATACGTTCGTAATTTCCATTTCTATGTTTATGTTTTTAATTAGTTTTGCTTGACTTTTACTTTGGAAATTACACACTTTTGGTGTAATAGATTAGATTGTTAAATTCTTGTAAATAGGTTAGATTAGATATATTCTGAGCTTAAGCAGGTTTTGGTCACTCAAAATACAGTTGGTGAACCCAAAAAGTGAAGAGAAGGTGAAAAAGTTCAAAGATAAAAGAAGATCCTGAATTTTGGTCTATACTCGGTCGAGTATTAGCTATACTCGATCGGGTATTAGGTTGGAACCTCAAATCGGATCAGATCCGAAGACAAAGGAACATGCAGGGAAGATTTTGGCCACGATTCTATGTCTATACCCGATCGGGTAGACCGACATACCCGATCGGGTATGCCTTTGAATTGCAAACAAAGATCGGTCGAGTATAGCCCGAATACCACTTTCTAAGCATACTCGACCGGGTATTCATATATACTCGATCGGGTATACACTTAGAAAATAGCCTGAAACCGGTCGAGTATGCCTCGGATCGGGTGTTACACACATACTCGACCGGGGTACCATGTATATACCCGATCGAGTACCCGAATCCCATCCCAAAAACCTATAAATACACCCCCTTTCCTTCACAAAAAAGAATCCAATCCCTTTGTACATCTAAGCTCAGTATAGAATAGCTCTTTCTTTATATTTTTCATCATGTTTAGTCTCCAAATGAGGAGCTAAACTCTTCCAT